TTATTTTTACACACATCATACTTTCTAATATTAATTTAAACTTTATGGGAAAATTTATATCACACCTTCCGTCTTTTTTTTTTTTTTTTTTTTTTTTTTTTTTTTTTTTTTTTCTGTTTTGTTTTCAAATTAATTTGTTTATTTTTGTTTTGTTTTGTTTTTAATTAATTATTTAATTTTTTTTTCGTTTTAGTTTTTCAGTTAGTTATTTTTTTGTTGTTTTGTAATCTTAATTTATATATTTTTTTAATTCTAATAATATTTAGTGTATTTTAAAATTTAAAATTAAGTATTCTAATTAAAAAAAATACATTTATTTTTGTGAAGAATAAAATATAAAAAATAGTATTGAATGAGTAGGTAATGAGTCCCATATATTTGTGTTTAAATGAATGATTGAATGTGGGTGTGTGTTTAAATGGAGAGATGTATAATGGAAAGATGACGTGAAGATGATATGGATGAAAGAGAGTGTAAATTGTGATTGAATGAATGTTAAGGGATGTGGATGCCCTAACTAACTTTAACTCAATCTCACTATCCTCAATATTATCAATATTATAAATAAATATCAATCAGTCATTCTCACACATCAAATAACTTTAATTCATTATTTATTCACTCACATAATTTTAACTAAACATCACTTCGCATCATTTCTCTTATACTTTTATATCAAATAACTTTATTTATTTTATTTTAAAAATTATTTTAATGTATATTCAAAGTCTCACTAATAACTAATTAAACCACATTTTTAAAATTAACTATAGATAATAAAAAAAGCCAATCAAAACCAAATTAAATACATATCCAGTCACGTACACCTTAAATATTATATGCAAGCATATAATTTATAATGTTTTGTTTATATTGTACATTATAATGTTTCCAAAGCTGGTGTGATGAGACATGTTAGAATATCACTTGTGAGTTGTCTCACACCGTTCATACATGGAAAAGACCCATCTTATAAATCTAATGGGCTACTCCTCCTTCCACCAATTGGTTTTGGGATGGAACCCCACTTGGGCTTCATTTAAGCTTTTCCCGCTTTGGTGCGCTTCATGTTAGTGGGACCACACCCGTTTTCCACCAGTTTCTTACATGTTATCAAAGCCGGTTCTATTGGGACCGTGCGATGACGTACTCGTTTATAGGAGTCTGTTTCCCCACGTACTTGTTTATGGGAGTCTGCTTCTAGTAGGCTTGGGGCACCCAATCTAGTTGGGCTTGGGCTTCCGAAGGACTCACAAGTGAGGGGGCGTGTTAGAATATCACTTGTGAGTTGTCCCACATCGTTCATACATGGAAAATAAACTCACCTTATAAGTCTAATGGGCTACTCCTCCTTCCACCAATTGGTTTTGGGATGAAACCCCACTTGGGCTTCATATGGGATTTTTCCCGTTCATGGTGCGCTTCATGTTAGTGGGACCGCACCCATTTTCCCCCAGTTTCTTACATGGTATCAGAGCCGAATTTATTGGGACCGTGCGATGACGTACCCGTTTATGGGAGTCTGTTTCCCCACGTACCCGTTTATGGGAGTCTGCTTCTAGTAGGTTTGGGGCACCCAACCCAGTTGGGCTTGGGCTTCCAAAAGACTCACAAGTGAGGGGGCGTGTTAGAATATCACTTGTGAGTTGTCCCACATCGTTCATACATGGAAAATAGACCCACCTTATAAGTCTAATGGGCTACTCCTCTTTCCACCAATTAGTTTCGGGATGGAACCCCACTTGGTCTTCATTTGAGCTTTTTCCTAGAATTTTGGGTGAAATAATTCTTTCTACGTCTCGAGGTATAATGACAGACCGGGAGGTTCGACTACTCATGCAAATATACAAACGAGTCGAGTTTGAGGTTTTACATGTCAAATCAAACTATGTAAAGGGATAACTCGATTAAAATAACATCAATTCATCTTGCATATCGGGTGAAAAAATAATTTCGCTTGACCCTGCACAAAATGATTTTGGTAGTTTAACATATATAATAAATTATAAGTTCAATAGTAAGGTGATGATTTTGGTAGTTTAACATAATAAATTATAAGTTGAATAGTAAGGTGGACATTGAAGGAGCCCTCTCATACAGGATGATTGAATTGTAGCTGCAGGTTTTTTTTCAAACGATAAAACTGCATTAATTAAAACTCCAAAGTTTATGTACAACAGCATCAGCCGACCAGCCAAATGGCTGACCTTTTACAGTCTAAACTCCCCAAACAAAAACTAGACAGCAAAAGAGAGCGAGCATCACCGAGAGGTTCGGCTTAACCCTGACTAAACAACCAAAAGGAGACAGAAACACCCCAAACCCCAACCCACAAAATACAAAACAAGGAAAGAAGAAAAGGAAAAAACTAAGCAAAGCATATGCTAATTATTTACAGAACCTATCAAGTAGGAGCAATGGAGATTGCACTGATAGCACTAATGGCTACCCTACAGTCCATTACCCCTGCAAAACAGTCACCCCAACCCACAAGAAAAAGAAACACAAGAAAAGAAAACAGAAAAAATTACAGCAAAAAAAACTAGCTATCTAAAATTGCAGCAAACTCCGACCACTCCAACCTGGCCCCATGAGCTGTTTCTTTCTCTGAAATCCATTCTTTTCTAAAAACCCAACAGTTACGGGTTTTCCAGAGCCACCACAAGACGTATGTAGAGAGTGTGATCCTGTCTGTGGCTCCAAAAAAGTTCTTCATTAACATCAAGTCCTGCCACCATGATGGAAAGTGTTTCTCTGATTTATGCAAGCCATCCCATGTCACACCTGCTAGCCTCCATACCCTGTGTGCTCTTTGACAATCAAAAAAGATGTGTTCTACTGACTCCTCAGCCTCCCCACACATACTGCAAATGGGGTCCACCTGCAACCCTCTTTTCCGAAGCTTGTCCTGGGTGCCAATAAATCCATGATAGCATCTCCACACAAAAAGCTTGATTTTGTTCTTTATCTTCAAACCCCAGGTGTGCTTCCAAAGCTTTATGAGGTTGATTCCACTGTTACTTGCTTCAGGCTGCACTTTTGCTAACTCCTGCTTGAGTTGCAGGGTGGAGTACATAGATTTTACAGTAAAAAGCCCATTTTTATTGAATTTCCACACCATCTTGTTCCTCCCTTGACTATCTAAACCCATTTGATACCCAATACCCTCTCTCATGCTATCTCTAACCCCCATCCACGATTTCCAGAGCCAAGAGTCATAAGGCTTTGATTGAATATCCCACAGACTCTGATTATGAAAGTACCTCCCTTTAAGGACCCGACTCATCAAAAGATTTGGGCATGTAATTACCCTCCATATTTGCTTACCAATTAAAGCTTTGTTAAAGACCTCTAAATTCCTAATTCCTAGCCCACCCCTCTCCTTTGGTCTGGCTATTTTATCCCAACCACCCCAATGTATTCTGTTTTTTCCCTCACCCGATTTACCCCACCAGAAATTTGCTATCAGCTTACAAATATCCTTACAAACACTCAAAGGCAATTTAAAACATGACATCACATACAAAGGTAGAGCACTAAGCACCGCATTTATCAAAGTGAGCTTCCCTGCTTCACTCAGAAAGCAGCTTTTCCAGCTTGATATTCTATTTTGGACACAGTCAACAACATATTGAAAGGTAGCTTTTTTAGATCTTCCAATACTTAAGGGTAAACCAAGATATTTAGATGATTTAACAACCTGAATCCCTTGAAAAATTTGGGAAATTTGGGCTTTTGTCTCCTCTGATGTGTTTTTTGAGAAGATTATGGAGGATTTATCAATGTTTACCTTCTGACCAGAGGCATGGCCATAATTTTCAAGCATACTGAGAAGCATAGAAGCATTATGAGCTGTGGCTTTACAGAAGACAATAGAATCGTCAGCAAAAAACAAATGAGTGATAGCTGGGGCATATTTACCAATCCTAAAACCCTGAAAGTGATGATGGGCTGCAGCTTGATTTATTAGATTTGAGAGAGCCTCAGAAATGATGATAAAAAGGTAGGGGGATAAGGGATCCCCCTGCCTTAAGCCTCTAGAAGGCTTGATAAAACCTTGAGGCTGTCCATTGATCTTAAAAGAGAAAGATGAAGAATGAATACAAGCAAAAATCCAATTTATAAAGGAATGACAAAAACCCATTTTCCGAAGAATTAACATCAGAAAAGCCCATTCAACGCGGTCAAAAGCCTTTGCCATGTCCAATTTAATGGCCATTAAGCTATCTTTACCTTTTCTTTTACTATTTAGGTAATGAACATATTCACTTGCCAGGACTACATTATCAAGAATTTGTCTTCCTGGCACAAAGGCTGCTTGGTTTTGAGAGATGCAAAGATGAAGGACAGACTTAATTCTGTTGGCCAAGATTTTTGAAATGAGTCTGTAAATGACATTGCAAAGGCTGATGGGCCTAAAATCTGAGATTTTTTGGGGATTTTTGATTTTTGGAATTAGAGAAATAATAGTATGATTCAATTGATTAGGCATAGAGCTAGTAGCAAAAAAATTTCTAATAGCGGTGCAAACATCATTTTGAATAATGTCCCAATGGGACTGAAAAAATAAGGGAGTGAAACCATCTATACCTGGAGCCTTGTGGGGGTGCATTTCCATTAGTGCTGCCTTGATCTCTTCATCTTTTACAGGTTGGGTAAGGGTTCGATTTTGCTGATCTCCAATCACTTTTTCAATACCCTCCAGACTGCAACTATTAATATTTGGCCTCTGAGACTTGAAAATCTCTCTGTAAAAATCCATTATTTCAACCAAATTTTCCTCCTCACTACAGCATCTAGAACCATCTCTTCTGGTAAGGAGATTGATGTTGTTGATCCTTCTTTTATGATTGACACAGGCATGAAAATATTTTGTATTCTTATCTCCAGCTTTCAACCACAGGACTCTGGATTTTCCTTGCCAGTACATCTCTTCTTCCAAATAGGCTTTGTGTAATTTTGCTTTATATCTTTCCCATTCACTCCAATCCTTATCTTTGCCCAGAAGAACCATATCCTTCAATTTTGCCTTGCAGATTTCAATTTGTTTTGCTGAATTGGACTGCTGTTTTGAATTCCAGTTCAGAAGAGCTAACCTTGTGTCCCTAAGTCTATGTTGGATACCCACCAAATCAGTGCTCCCCTCATGCTCTTTCCAAACTTTAGCTATAACCTCCCTGCAGCCCTCTTTTGTCTGCCACCGTGCATCATAATTGAATCTTTGCTTCCCCTTCTGCCTGCTTGGGTCAGTTTGTAGCAGCAATAAATGATGGTCTGAGGATATTAAATGAATATGCTTAACAGTGGACAGTGGAAAAGTTAAGAGCCATCCAGGGGAGAAGAAAATTCTATCTAACCTCTCTTCTACAAAGCCTTCCCCCTGCCTATTATTTGCCCAGGTAAAAGGGTGCCCTTGAAAACCACCATCCTGCATTCCCATTACCCTAACAAAATTTCTAAATCCTATGAAACTGCAATCTTCTCTTTGCTTTCCCCCTTTCTTTTCAGAATGATATAAAAGATCGTTAAAATCCCCTCCCAAAAACCAACAATCTCCCCACATAAAGCTGTGCCTAATTAAAGTTTGCCACTGGCTTCTCCTAACATTTTTATCAGTGCTCAAATAAACAAAAACTCCCCACAATTTTATATGACTACCAGGATAGAGAAAGCACACTTCTATACAAAAATCACTACACACAATATCTAAAATAGTAATAGAGTCATCCCAACACAAAAAAAGACCTCCTTTAAGACCAGCTGGCTCAACTGAGATCCATCTATCTTCAAATTTTAGCTTTTTACAAACAGTTTTTATAAAATTATTTTTCTTTTTTGTTTCAGAAAGAAACACAAAATTTGGGAGATGAGTTCTAAGAATCTCTTTGATTTGGGAAATTGTAGAGGGTCCTCCCAAACCTCTACAATTCCACACCGAAACCTTCATTTGGAAACTTGGGACCATTTATGGCTGGTTTCCTCCACCAATTGATCAGACAAGTCAATATTTTCTGCATCAGAGTTTTTCTTCTGCTTTTTTAATTCTCCAGGTTCAGAAAGCAAAAGATCACCAACAGTTTCTAAAGCTCTTTTTTTATTGTCATTCCAAACATTTTTACTATCTAAATTTTTCCCAGAAGAAACAAGGTTTAAGCAGTTTCTTTTTTTAGTTATAACAGGTTTTTTCAAAAGAAGTTTATTCCTCCCATCAGGATGAGATAGATCATTTATGAGTTTTTTCGTAGCTTGTTTGACAGGAATATGCACAAGATTATCTAGACACATAAGATCAACAACATGCTCAGTACCAGACACCATATTCTCATTTCCCATCCCAGAACTAGAGCCCATTTTATGAGGGGAGACACCTACAGAACCATCCTCAGAGCCAGGACTCCCATTTTTTTGATGTTCTACAAATTTATCAACATTTTCTAAGGACCTACTCCTAACATCAGACTCTGAGGACTCCATCCCTACTCTCTTGCTATGATCAGGAGTGTGCTCTCTATCCTCAGTTGAGGGGGCAGGTCGAGAACTAAGTCTCATCTGGCCCTCAGTGCTGTTTTCCCACTCATTTTTCCCACTTTTATTAGGACTTCTACCCCCCATATACCCAAAGACTGAGGCTCTTAACCATTCACCAAACTGTCCAGTGTTTAAGCTATTCTTTTTAACATCCTCTTTTTTGAGTGCACAGTTACGGTCGGCATGGCCAATTCGGCCACAGTAATAACAAAAGTTGAGGAGATTCTCATATTTAAAATGTACCCATCGTGCCTCTCCTCCAAGCCTGATGTGTGTTCCACGCAGAATGGGGTCCTTGAGGTTTAACTCCACCAGGATTTTGATCAGCCGTCCACCATAGACTCCCATGTCAGGGACCACAACGTCAATGACATTGTGGAAGAGTTTCCCCACTTTTAACCCAATTTCGGCAGAGACCCAGTGAATTGGTAAGTCCCAAATCTGTACCCACAGCTGGATAATATCATCCTCCTCTTTGTGTTCCTCACATGTTGGGCTCCATTCCCTTAGTAGCAGATACTGACCATCGAAGGACCATGTTTTCCCAGTGAAAACTCTTTGCTTATCCCCTTCTGAGTTAAAAATGAACTGGAATTTGTTGTGCCCCAGAGACCGGATGTTGAACGGTTTCTGCGTCTGCCAAACCGATTGTAAAGTATTTCTCATCCCATTAAAATTTATTCTCTTCTCACCAAAGATTCGACCAAAGAGACTCAAAGAACATTCTTGGATTCCGGAACTGATATCATCATCAGTAATTGAGATTCCCCCTT